TCGTCGTCGTGGTCGGTCCCCTGTCCGTCCCTCTTGGGGTCGGGTCGACGGTCCGCGGCCGCCCCGCCGATCAGCGCTGCCGCTGGTCAGGCCGACGGTCCGCGGCCGCCCCGCCGTTTGCCAGGGCCCGGCCTGCAGGGAAGAGAGGTATACCCCTCAAAAGGGTATCGATCGCAGACGAAGAGGGCGGGTATCGAGAGTTCGGGAAATACGCGTTCTTGGACGCTCGATCAGATAAGGGCGAACAGTCTTAAAATGATAGTTGTTGTTGTTGTTGTTGTTGTTGCTGTTGCTGTTGCTGTTGTTGAATATTAATTACTGAACAATCATTATTGTTGGACCATCCCCTGGCGCCCTGGCGCTCTCGCCTCGGCGCCCGCTACATATTCATTGAAAATGAAACTCACGCTCGAGCGGTTTGGGGGGTCGCCAAAACCGGCCCCCCAACAAGAACAACGCTCCCACTCGAGATTTCTTTTTTTACTTAGAGCTGGTGCTCTTGCTCGCCGCCGAAAACCGCCGCCCCAACAAAACCAACGCTCCCGCTCGAGACTTTTCCCCGTTTTACCTGGCGCTCTACTCTTGCTCTCATCGGCGCCGCCCCTAGCAAGAACAACGCTCCCGCTCGAGGCTTCCTCCTTTTTTGCTCAGAGCCGGTTCTCTTGCTCGCCGCCGAAAACCGCCGCCCCAACAAAGCCAGCGCTCCCGCCCGAGACCTCCTCTTGTTTTACGCTGTACTGGCGCCGTACTCTCTTTTAAATTGGCGCCGCCCCTAGCAAGAACAACGCTCCCGCTCGAGACTTCTTTTGATTTTCCTGAGGACGGTGCTGTTCCTCGCCGCCGACAGCCGCCGTCCCGTCAAAACCGCGGCTCCCGCTCGAGACTTCTTCCCTTCTTACTCAAGGCGGTGTTGCTACTCGCCGCCGACAACCGCCGTCCCAACAGAACCAGCGCTCCCGCTCGAGATTTCTCTTTGCTTTACGCTGGACTAGCGCTTTAATCTTTTTTGCTTTGGCGCCGCTCCCAGCAACAACAGCACCCCTGCTCGAGACTTCGTCACTTTCTATTCAGGGCCAGGCCCTTGCCTCGCCGCCGACAGCCTCCATCCCCACCAAGCAAATCCTGTCGCTCGATACTTCCTTGTGCTTTGACCTTGGCTGGGGCTCCACTGGCGGTCTCGCGTCGGCGCAGCAGGGCGCGCGCATGTGTTTTCGAGGCGGGATATGTTAAGTGCTTTTGTTGTTGTTGTTGCTGTTGCTGTTGCTGTTGCTGTTGCTGTTGCTGTTGTTGTGGTTGTTGAACATTATTACTTCTAAAGAATAATTATTGTTGGGACCCCTGGTGCGCGACCTCTGCGCCGCGCCTAGGCCGCAGCCTCATTTCCTTCATTTTCTAGCGAAAGCTTCAGAAAAGTGGATTGTCACCGGATCCGGTTGTTTTGTTGTAATCCGTTTTCCCTTGCAAAAAACACTATAAAATGAAAATTCTTGTTCTTACTTGATCAAATTGCAAGAATCCCTTGCAAAAAATAAGGTAAAGTGGACATTCGTGCGCGCAAGACGAAATCCTTCCAAAACCTTAGGTTTCGTAGCGATTTTAACATAAAAACATCAAAAACCCAATGGTTTTTTAAGAAAAAATTGTCAAAATGTCCTTCCGCGCGCGCTGTCCGAATCCCACAAAACCAATGGTTTTTCAACATTTATGTTACATGAGCTCGCGCGAGCTACTTTTTCTTGTTCTAACATAATCAAATTTCAATAATCCCTTGCAAAAAATAAGGTAAAGTGGACATTCGCGCGCGCAAGACGAAATCCTTCCAGAACCTTAGGTTTCGTAACGATTTCAACATAAAAACATCAAAAACCCAATGGTTTTTCAAAAAAAAATGTCCAAATTTCATCCCGCGCGCGCTGTCCGACTCCCACAAAACCAATGGTTTTTCAACATTTATGTTACATGAGCTCGCGCGAGCTACTTTTTCTTGTTCTTACATAATCAAATTTCAATACTCCCTTGCAAAAAAAAGTAAAGTGGACATTCGCGCGCGCAAGACCAACAAAAAACACGACGATCTCAGGAACTTGCCCCAAAAATGTGACCAACTCCGCTCTCTCTGTCTCTCTCTCTGTCTGCTCTCTGTCTCTCTCTCTGTCTGTCTGTGTCATGTATTGTATGTCACAATTGCAGGATGCTGGGCACACGCGCGCCCCGAATAAGTGACCAAGTTCTGTGGGTGTGTACCCCACGCCAGTGTAGTAGCCACGGTCGTCCGCACGCCACGAAGTGAAGTGTCCCAACGTCATAGGGCGGGAAGCTGGGTTTGGGTGGTCGCGAAGAGTCGTTTGGATATTTGGTAGAGCTTGAACTGCCCCCCCACGAAGTGGGGGTATTGTCTCGCGTCGCATGAAAACCCTGGCACTGGTGAGAACACTGAGCGTTCGGGTAAAATGATTGTTGTTGTTGTTGTTGTTGTTGTTGGTTTTCAGGGGAACTTATTTGGGCTGGGGTACCCCCCTACTGTACTGGGGAGGGGAGTCCCAGATTCACCCTGGAACGGTTCTGGGGTAAAAATCCATTTTGGGCGTTCCCGAGATTGGGCTGTAGAGCCCAGCGGCGAGAAAAGGCTCCCAAACAAAACATTCGATCCGGAAAGTGACGATTTCTTGGGCTCGGGTACACCCCCCCGCTTATCCCCGAGATCGCCTTTTGCACTGATGGGTCCCAGATGGGAAATCACCCTGGAACGTTTCTGGGGTGAAGATCCAACTGGGGCGCTCCCGAGTTTGGGCTGGTGAGCTCCGCCGCGAGAAAGGCTCCCCAACAAGAGATTCCATTTGGGAAGATGACGACTTTTTTAGCTCGGCTACGCCCCCCCGCTTATCACCGAGTGCCTTTTTGCAGTCGGGGAGTTCCAGTTGGAAAATCGCATTGGAACGGTTCCGGGGTGAAAATCCATTTGGGGCGCTCCCGAGATTTGGCTGGAGAGCCCAGCCGCGAGAAAAGGCTCCCATTAAGAGATATATCCTATTTGGAAAATTGATGATTCCCTGGGCTGGGGTATACCCTCCGCTTTTCCCTGAGTGCCTTTTTGCATTGGGGGGGGGTCCCAGATGGAAAATCCCCCTGGAACGTTTCTTGGGTGAAAGCTAATTTGGGCGTTCCCAAAAACAGCAGACGCTCTCGGGGATAAGTGTGTGGGGTGTACCTGGGCCCCAATGGTGGTAAGTTCCAAATGAAATCTCTCATTCGGGAGCCTTTTTGTGCGGTTGGGTCTTCCAGCTGGATCCCACATGGGAAGGGCTAGATGGAACATCGCATTGGATCGGCGGCCCATAAGGCTCCTGAGAGCGGCCCCGATGGAAAATCACCAGATGGAAATCACCCTGATTCTGGAACCTGACCCGGGTGCGTGCCAGAGTGCCCTAGGTGTCCTCGCCCCTGTCGCCTCGTCACTCGTCCCCCCCCGAGTGCTCGCGTCCCTGCCGTCGTCGCCGCCCTCCGACTCTTGCGGGGAGGGTGCGGGGCTACCCTTGCCTCGCAGCGCGGCACGGATCGGATCTGTCCTTTTAGGGAAACGAGCAATGACATAAACATATATTTTTTTGGAGGTCCGCGCGGATTTCTCGGACCGCGCGGATCTCCGAGTTTTTATGTTTATGTCATTCTTCGGTCCCCATGGTTATCCTGCACCCGCCAGCCCGCCAGCGCTTCCAGCGATTCCTCTGGCCCCGCAGGAGGAGGAGGAGGAGGAGGAGGAGGAGGAGGAGGAGGAGGAGGAGGGAGTACGAGGAGGAGAAGGAGGAGAAGGAGGAAGAGAAGGAAGAGGAGGAGGAGGAGGAGGAGGAGGAGGCGGAGGAGGAGGAGGAGGAGGAGGAGGAGGAGGAGATGGAGGAGGAGGAGGAGGAGGAGGAGGAGGAGGAGGTGAGGAGGAGGAGGAGGAGGAGGAGGAGGAGGAGCAGGAGCAGGAGCAGGAGGAGGATGATGAGGAGGAGGAGGAGGGAGGAGGAGGAGGTGAGACCTTTTCGAAGCACTTGGATGCTATGGGCATCGTGCTGCACCCACGACGTTGGAACAGGCACGGCGTCGGACGTCTGGGCAAGTGCAGGCCGTCTGGCAGGGTCACCTGCGAAGGTGGGCTGCGGCTGGCGGCTCGCGGCCGGGGCTGCGGCAGCGCTGTTCTCCAGGGGCTGCGGCATGAGAGCTCGAAGCGAACTGCGCTCCGCGCTTCGTCGAGTCGGGGTTGATTTGTAGGTCGGCCCTGCCAAGTCAATAGTACCCTTGTGTCCTGTGCTTCGCGACCCGTGCCTTCTACATTCCTGCGGCAACGTGGCCCTCGGAGGGGTCTCGTGTCCTCTCGCGTGTCCTCTCCAATCCACCCTGACTGGAGGTCCGCGCTTCGCGCTTTGCGCTTTGCGCAAAGTGTGCGGCCAGCGGTCAGGAACGCTTGTCTGGCCGCGACACGCTAGGCGCGCCCCGGTCGCCAAGCATGAACGTTCCGGGCTCTTCCCAGCCTCCCGTCCCACGAAGCACTGCGACACGCAGTCAGCTTGCGTGGCGCAGCGTGTCGCAGGGGCCGCCGCGGCGACACGCTGATCAGAAGTTCCTGGCCGTAGGTACTTGGGGCCAGTGGCTGGGGGTCGTCCGGGCCGATCTGCTCAGACCAAACACTTTTGCGTAAACTCCTCGGCCCCCAGACACCTTCACTGCTGCATGCCGAGCTGGCTGGTGATCACCAGGATGCTCCCCTTGCTCGGACCCATCAGTAATGCGTCTGAGCATTGACTTGCAGGACCGACATCGAGCGCGGTGGACGTTGCCATGCTTCTCTGCAGTCCTAGGGCTCTGGTGGTGGCGCTAGTGCTGCGGATGATGGCTGATGGCGATGCTGGCCACGACGAGAATTTGGAATCATGATGGAGACAATGCTGAAGCATGAGGGGCCTGGATTAGGGAACACAAGATCAAGAGGAGATGGATGAGTCCCTTGCGATGCCCCAGGTCGACGAGAAGAACATGAACGTGCGCCGCGCTGCATTGCTACGTGGACAGTCAGCCTAATAGGGAGAGCATGCGCTATGGCCAGCGTCGATTTTTTTCCCTCATTTGGTTTGCCCGGAGGTTTCTCTTTTGTCTGCCTAATAGCTCCCTCACTGCAGGTGCCCTGGACTGGTGCCCCTCCCGTGCCCATCCCGTGAGCCTCGTCGGCTCGCTTCCAGTGCACTTTGTACGGCCAGCATGCTAGCCAGGAAGCTATCTCCGAGCATACTGCTGGCTCGCACCCGGCGCGCATCGCGTTGCCAGAATTGTCGGCTGGACGCTCACTCCGAGTGTACTGTCTCGCTTTTGGTGAACTTCGCGCTACCAGCGTTTTTGACCCTTTAGTTACCTGGAAGCTCATCCTGAGCGTGCTGGCTCGCTTCCAGTAGCAGGTGAGGTTGAAAGCGAAGACAGCGAATAGTTTATTGATCGCTTCGCTCATTGCGCCCGCCCATGTTGTCTCGCCGCTGTCGTTTGTTGGGGTGTTGTTGTCCATGCGGTGCCGTTGGGCGGCTGCCACTTTTCGGAGGCGGTGGGTGGTGGGTCAGAGGCCTTATGTATGTTGGTTGAGCTCTCGTGGTTGGCCTCTCGGGGGCCTCTGGGAGGCAGTTTTGAGGCCTCTTGGGGGCCGTGTTGGGGCCTCTTGGGGGCCTCTTGGGGGCCTCTTGGGGCTTCTTGGGCTGCCTCTTGGGGGCCCCTTGGGGCCTCTTGGAGGCCTCTTGGGGCCTCTTGGGGGCCTCTTGGGGCCTCCTGGGGGCCTCTTGGGGCTGAAGGCTACTTTTCGGTTCCTGGTCCCCTTCTTGAGCTGAGGCCCTCTTGGGCCGTCTCGGGGTCCTCTTGGGCTCTCTTGGGCCCATCTTGGGGGCGCGTTGGGCGGTCTGGGGGCGATGTTGGGCCTCTGAGGCAGTTCTGGACGCTGTGACCCCCCAAACGTCGTAGATGCGAAAAATGTATTATTTTTTTAAGGGAATGGGACGATTTTACTCGGGGCCCTCTTGGAGAGCCTCTTTGGGCTTTCTCGCGGCCTCTGGGGCTATCTGGAGGCCATCTTGAGCGTCTTGGAACGATCTTTCGGCGACTCGGGGCCTTTTGGGCCGTGTAGGGGGCGTCCCGGCGCCCTCTTGGCGCGCTCCTGGAGCGCCCATGGGGGAGTCGGCCGGGCATCGGCTGGGCATCGGCCGGGCATCGCCCGGGGTACTTTTCGTCGGGGGGTCCCCAGGGGCCGCCACGCGTGCGCGAACTAGAAATATTGTAAACCTGTTACCCGAGATCTCAGCACGCCCCTGGCCCGCTGGGCCCGTGAATTTCTTCGAGCGCCAGAGCCTATCCATACCCACCGCCTCGGAGCCGTGCCTCGGGATCCCGAGCTCTCCCCCAGGAGTGGTGGACATGCGCACCAGCGCGCCCCTGAGAGCGGGAAGCTCTCCACATCCACCGCCCCCCAGGGATCCAGCGCAGGACTCTCAGCAGCCGTGGATGTGGAAATCACCCGGTGGTGTGCACTCTGAGCGCGCCAGCTCGCTGCAGGGTGCGCTTCGCGCTGCCAGCGCTCTGGCCAGCAAGCTCCCTCCGGGCGGGCGCCAGTGCCCTTCCGTCGCCGGGGGCGCCCCCTCCCAGCGCGCGGCGCACGTTTGTGGCCGCGGGGGGCGGGCCGCGGGAGAGTCGCGCTCGCTGCACGCCCAGGTTAGCGGACTGGCCTTGTCTCTTCCTCGTCCTCTTCTCGAGGACGGAAAATGGCAAAAACATGCACTTTTGCTCCGCGCGGATTTCTTGGATCCGCGCTGGGCCCCCTGGCGGCGCCTCCGTCGCCGCCCCCGGCGCGCTGGGCCCCCTGGCGGCGCCTCCGTCGCCGCCCCCGGCGCGCTCTGCGCGCTGGGGAGGGTGGCCCAGCGCGGATCCAAGAAATCCGCGCGGAGCGCCACAAGGTTATGTTTGTGCTGTTTTTTCTTCTCCTATCCTCACTCTCCTCGTCGTCCTCTGTCTGGGCCCCCGTGGCGACCACAACGAAGTTGCCGCCCACAGCAGCTGAGCGTCCTTCCTTTCGGCTGAGTTGTGCACTCGCCCACGGTGTGGCTTCGAGGCGGAACTGGGCGGAACGGGGTGCTCCCACGATGGTGGAGGCTGTCTCCAGGCCTCCTCTTCCTCCCACCTCGCTCCCCGCTCCTCCTCTCTTCTCGCCCTCACTTTGTTCTTGCCCTCTCCCCCCTCTCTCCTCCCGCCCCTCTTCCTCCCGATCTTCTCCTCTCCCCTCGTCCTCTTCTCCTCTCCTCTTCTCCCGCCCGTCTCCTCCTTCTCGCCCTCTCGTCGGCCTGCTTCTGAGGGTTCTTTCCTGACATTCGGGGTTGCCCCTGTCAGCCTGCAGCGCACTCGCCCCTTTCCTCGCCGATCCCTCCCCTCTCCTCCTCCTCCCTCCTCCTCCTCCTCCTCCTCCTCCTTTTCCTCCTCCTCCCTCCTCCTCCCTCCTCCTTCCTCTTCCTTCCTCTTCCTCCTCCTTCCTCCTCCTCCTCCTCCTCCTCCTCTCTCCTCCTCCTTCCTCCTCCTCCCCGTCCTCCCCCTCCTCCCTCGAAGCCCGAAGGGAAACGCCTACACCCCCATCCAGGGAGGGCAGATCGGCCAGCGGGGCCAAGGCCATGCAAGTGGGGACGGGGATCGGTTCGACGATGCTCATCCTCATCTCTCCCTTTTGCCGCCAGCTGGCTCCTGCAGTGCAGGAGCGACGCAAAGACGTACGCGCACACATTTCTTTTGGTCCTGCGGGTCGAGAGCGAGCCTCTTCCGGTTAAAAGTTAGGCGGGCCACGCAAAGCTCTCATTGGGGAGACAGAGCACAGGCGGGCGGGGCCTCAGGCGGCCGGTTGGCGGGCCGGGGTGCAGGCGGTGCCGAGGAGCTTGCACAGGAAAAGGAACGCCTTGGACAGGAGCCGGAGGCGAAGACCCGGAGGGTGAGCGGTGTGGTGTTGCCGTCGATGGCGCATCGTAAACACCATCCTCAAGTGCTGCGGGAGGATGAACGCGACCAGGTCGACGTCCAGGGGGAAGAAGTCCACCATGAAGGCGATGAGCAACGTTGTGCCACCAGATGGTGAGGAGGGGCCCAGATGAGGAGTACCACGAAGGCGATGTGTAGCGTTGTGCCACCGGGTGGCCGGAAGCGGCCTGGGGTGGTAGTCCAATCCACGTCCAGGGAGCAGCCGGCAAGAGGTGCGGCCAGAAACAGGGCCGTCCGTGTCCGACTGGATGTCGGTGGTGTGCAGGGAGGAAACCTGACCTGCACAGTCAGTGCGTGAAGACGGGCGGGTGCCACGCACGATGCGCTGACGACCGCGTGGCCGAGGGCCGGGCCTGACCCGCGCTGCCCAAGGCAAGCGGGGCCGCCGAGGCGGCAAGGTGCAGTGCCCAGCACCGGGCCGAAGCCGCGCTGTGCCGGGCGTCGCCGCCATGGGAGGGGGGGGACACGAGCGGGGGAGGGGGCGAAGTGAACAGGGAGGAGAGAGGCCGGCATCCCGCGCCAGCCGAAGCCGCGTCAGCCTGCACCGTGGGTGCTCACGTGGGGACAAGCCCCAATGGGTACAGGTAGGACACAAGGTCCCGTTGCAGGAAAGACAGGGCGTGCCGCGCAAGTCGTCGATGCACCAGTGCGTCGCAGATGGGTACAGGTGGGACACAAGGTCCCAGATCCTTGAATACGGGAGAGGGGGAGGAGAGGGGAAGGAAAGGACGGGGTCCAGGTGGAAGGGTGAGTAGCCAGCCCGTGGAACGCGGGCGCCACTGGGGCAATGGGGTGCAGGTGGCGGGGACACGGTCTCGAGCCAGGTGAGAGAGGTGGGGTGGGGGTCGGGGGCGCAGGTGGTGGGAGCGATTGGCTGGTTGTGCAGTGGTGCCGTGTGGCAAGGGGGGGTCGGGTCGACGGCTGGTCAGCGCCGCGGGCGCTTTCCAGTCCAGGTGTCATGGTGCCCGGAGCTGCGCGCCTGGTCCCCTTCGCGCCTGTCGCCCTTAGCGACATCCTTTTCCTCTGTACGTCCTGGTGAAGCTTCTGCTCCCGCTCCCAGTCCACGTGGACGCCTGCGCTGCGGGGCCACGCCTCCACGTGATGGCTGTTGATGTTCATGTCATCCAGGACTTTGTCGATGATCCAATGATGCCAGCGGCCCGGGTCGAAGGGCGCCTGGTCTTTGGATTTGCCTTTGCCCTGCATCTTGCACATGTGCCTGCGCCACGAATGCCAGGCTGCGTTGAAGTGGTATCGCCCTTCCGCTTGCAGCCTCTTCAGGTGTGTGACTGCTGTCTCGTTTGGGAGGCGCTGCCAGCCAACGCGAAACGTTGCTCGCGTTCGGCTGGTGTCGGTGTGTCGGCGATCGTCCCTGTGGTAAGAGTTGCGCGATTCTGGCTGGCGCCAGGGTGCGCTCCCTGCGCCCCTGCCAGTGTCGTGGCTCTGGTCCCAGTAGCGCTCCTTGGTTCTGTCCCAGTCCTTGGCGTCGTGTTTGCGCCACGGTGCCCCCCGTTGCGCCCAGGTTGCGGTCGCGGTCGCGGTCGCGGTCGTGCTCTCCTGTGCGGGTCCGGTCGGCCTTTCTGGACTCGCGCCTCACCGCCGTTGTGTACGACTCCCAGGCGACTGGCTCCCGCACGCTGCCGCGCGAGCGCTCGAGCAGGTGTGCAGGGAGAGGGGTGGATGCAGGCCGTGGGTCCTCCGGGCCTTTGGAACGGTTCCGCGTGTGCAGTCTCCGGTCGTCGGCCGCGGCCTCTGGGCGCACGATTGGCTCCGCGGGTGCGTGGGCGGCCCTGTGGTCGGTATTGCGTGGGTCGTGCTCGCGGATGGTGCGCCGCTCGCTCCGAGGACTCGTCTTGGCTTGGTGTTCTTCGATTGTGTCCGAGTCTGAGGATGAGGAGACCGGATGGACTTCGCTTTGGGCTTCGGCGAGGCACAGCTTCTGCTCTTGTGCCTGGTCGTCATTGCCCCAGTCGGGGTCCTCCTCCTTAGGGGGCATGAGGGGTGCAGGTTCGTTGGTGGGATCCTGCGTGTCTGTTTGCGGCGGGTAGGGTTCGAGCTTGAGCCTGTCCTGCATTCCCCCTGAGGACGTCGCTTTTTCTCCCCCGGTGTCGATGCCGCGCATGGGGCTGTCGAGGGGCGCTGGTGCTTGCGTTCCGTGCACCTTGCCTTTGGTACTGTCCAGAAAGGTTGCTGCCCGGAGCGCTGCGTTTCCACGGAGGACGTTTACGCGTAGCGTCCTGTCACCGACGCCCCGCCCGCGTGATGGTCGCGAAAATTGCAGGGTACACTAGGTGGCCGGCGTCCAGTCCTACCAGCCCCGAGCTGCAGAAGAGGTGCCCGTTCATGCTCCATCCCTTCCTGTCCTGAAGGCTGGGGTCAGTAGGTTGGTCCGCGACGCCGTGCTGGTGCGGATGTAGCCCGAGGCACCATAGCAGGCACGGATCGAGCGCTGAGCAGCCCAGTAGCCTCGTCGTTGCAACGTTGACGTCGTCCTCCAGGTCCTTCCAGCTGTGGTCGGCAGGGAGCGGTAGATCGGCGCGCGCCGAGAAGCCAGCCTGCTGAGCCTGCCGGGCCTTGATTGCTTCCTTCTCCTTCCGTCTGCGTTCGGCCTCCGCCACGCGCCTGGCCTTTTCTTCAGGGTTGGCCGAGTCGGGTATTTCGTCCACGAAAACCCTTGGGTCGGCCTTGGTCTGGCGTAGGCTTCCGTCTCCATTAATGTGGAATTCGAAGGCGAGGTCTGCCTTCTTGGCCCAGGTGCTCAGGTGATGGAGTGCAGCGTCTGTGGCCGTGCGGAACATCCTTGCGTCGGCAGTCATGATGAGGTTGCACAGTGAACGCGTCAGCCCCACGTTGATGCGGTGCCGTTCGTCGACGTGGCCCCAATTTAGCATTGAGTTGGCCCGAGTGGTCATGAGGATGACGATGGAGACTTCCTGCCCATGTGCGGCGTCGATTGTGGTGACCTGGATCGCCTCGCTCTCCAGGTGTTCTGGACAGAGCTCTGCGATCCCGCTGAAGTGCTCACTCAGGCCGTTTGCCGCCGTGGCGTGATTGATCCATGCTCCTCCCGTGGGCCTCCTGGTGGCGTGAGAGGAGGTGGAGCTGCCCCGTCCTTGCTGTCGCATGGAGCTGGGGCCGTTAGTCATGTCGGTGACGTACGCGCGCGCACACAAATCGTACGGGTTTCGAGCGAATGCATCGGGAGCGAGACATGGGATCCTTGTGCGCCTTCGCAGTTCAGTCTTTAAGAGTGCACTGGCGTCGACTAGCGTCTGGTAATCGACGAGATGGCGCCAATTTGGCGTCGATTTGCGTCGATTGGCGCCGATTTGGCGTCGATTAGCGTCGACAAGCGTCGATTAGCGCCGCTCTGTAAGAGCGAACCTGATGGTATGGGAGGCTCCTAGGCGTTGCCGCGGAAGCGTACGTCACGCGAGCGCTCGTCACGCCGCGAGGGCGGCCTTTCGCGAACTGCGCACGTGGCGGGGCGCGCACGTCTTTTTCCCTGATAAAGGGGGTTCTGCCAACGGGACGTTGCCCCAGGGCTGCACGGTTTGAGCGTGCTCCTCCCGTCAGGTGAACAGGTGACCAGGTTAAACCGCAGTCATGCGTGCACGATTCCGATGGCACAGGAAAAAATAGAAGGGTACAAAAACACGCAGACACACTTAGTCGTCTACCCCCAGGAACATATGGGAAAATATGGGAAGTGTGGGGGCAGACGAAAACCCAGGAAATGTAAGAAATACTGGACATCCTGGCACTTGTGCCTATTTATTTGTGTGTCCCAGGGCCCCTTCAAAAATGCAGGCAGCACATCATCCAGGGAGTCTGCCGTGGCCTCTCGAGCCTCGCTCGATTGGCCCCCTGACGTGCTCCTCCCGTCCACCACGCGCTCCTCCTGCTCCCGCCGCCCACCGTGCCCACTTCGGCCACCCGTTTCCCACGTCCGCCCCAGAGAACGCGGCCCGGACTCGCCTCAAGCCGGGCCTGTCCCACTGCGGGAGGGATATTCGAAACTAGTGAAGTAGTTTTTTTTTTGTTTGACAATTTTTCAGCATTCTTTTTTTTTTTTGTTGTTTTGGATTTTTTTAGATTTTTCACCCAACATCCCCCTGCAGGGGGACAGGCCCGACCTAAGGCTCGCCGCTGCGACGCAACAGGAGGTAGGAGGAGGAGGAGGAGGAGGAGGAGGAGCTGGAGGAGGAGGAAGAAGAGGAGGAGGAGGAGGAGCTTATGTTGCTTCCTGTTTTTTTTTTTTTTTTTTGTTTCTCTCTCTCTCTGTCTATAGGAGCGCAGAGGGGCCCCGCAGAGGCGGGGAGGGGCCACCGGGAGAGCCACGCGGGGGCACGGGGAGCCCTCGGACCGCCCTGGAGCGGAGGCGGTCCAGTGGCGGCTTGGCCTCGGACTTTCTCACAGTTTGTTCTCACGTCGGGCCTGTCCCTCTACTAGGGGATCATTTTTGAATCAATAGTTTAAAAATAGGTTAAACATAGTTTGAAAATAGTGAGGGGATTATATTTTGAGTATTTTTTGTCAATGTTGGGGTATTTTTTTGACTATTTTTATTGTTCGCCCAGAATCAGGAGGACAGGCCCGACTTCAGTTGATTCAGGAATCGCGCTCTCGCCTCAACTCGGCGGTGAGCCGGGAGGGGAAGTGGGAAGGTGCGGGCCTTCTTAGAAGGCCTGGAAGCCCCCCCGCCTTCTGAGAGGTTTTCGAGGCCTCCCCCGAGGACACAGAAAACTTCTAAGAAGGCGCGAGGGATTCTGAGAAGTCCCGCCGCCTTCTGAGAAAGCCTTCTCCTTCTCACTTCGCCCCCTCGCTCGCCGCCGATCAATGTAGGCGACATTTTTGATTTGGGCGGCCACGATCTTTTGTAACAGCTACACAAAGGTCGGCACGGCAGTGTTGAATTGTGCTCTCGCCTCAACGGCGGCTGATTTTTTGGCCTGGACGGCCACGATCTCTTGTAACAGATACTAAGATGCACACGGCCGTGCTCTCACCCTTGTTCCCCATTGCCGACCTCGTGCTCCTCTGCCCGCCTCTTCACCTTTGCTGCTCTCAGGGTGCTTTGCTGGGGGGATGTTCGGGCTCCCCAGTAGTGTGGTTCGGCCTAGCTTGGGCTGAGCGTACCGGGCGAGATTTCTATTTTGCCAGCGCGCGAGTCGAGCACCTCACTTCGCATGCCTTCTCCTTCTTCCATCCTCCTAGCCTCGTCGCCCCCTCCGCCTCCTTCATTCCCTGCCAGCTCTTAGCTCCCAGGGATTCAGGTCCTCTTTGATGAGCTCGACTCTGCGAATCGAGATGTATTCAACGCAATGGAAACGGATGGGAGGGAGGGGGAGTAGTAGGAGGAGGAGGAGGAGGAGGAGGAGGAGGAGGAGGAGGAGGAGGAGGAGGAGGAGGAGGAGGATCCTCACATCGTCTAGTCTTCGGGTCCACCCTGGCGTCTCTGGCGGCCGATCGGGGTGATCTGGGCCCCCCCTGGGACGCTGTCGGCGAGGAGCGGGTGCTGGAGAGCACCCCGAGGCTGGAAGAACCGAGAGGACCAACGACGATAGAACCTCCAAGTGAGCTTCTGCCTCCTCTCATTCCCCCCTCCCCGTCGAAGGTACTCATGACGGACCTCGGCGAGAGGGTGGCAGCCGAGCTCCTCGGGACGGACAACATGTGGTCGCCCGAGGAGGCGGGCTCGGCGATCGGGATGGAGGAGGAGGATTGAGGAGGAGGAGGAGGAGGAGGATTGATGAGGAGGAGGAGGAGGATTGATGAGGAGGAGAAGGACGGGGGAGGAGGATGAGGAGGGAGAGTAACGATGAGGAGTGCAGTCAAACCAGAACGTAAGGATGCACGGTCAAAGACGCACGGGCCTTGGCTGCGTAAGTTTTTTTTTTTGAGCGGCGCCAGATTGACCGATGAGGCTAAGGAACGGCTGAAGAGGCAGGGACGCAAGGACACTCCTGGTAAAACTGTTTGCCCTTATGATGCGGGATGACTGTAAGGAGTAAGAGGGGTGATGGTGTTAATTTTGGCAATGACGTGCCGACGACGATGGTGAAGACGACAAATAGTAAGATTGCGGATGCGTTGATGGCGACGGCAAATATGATATTACCAGATGATGGCGATGTCAACGACGACGGTGACGGCGATGATAATAAGGACGAGGAACGAATGGGGGATGAGGGTGACGACGACGGTGATCACGATGGTGTTGACGCTGAGGAGGATGCTGATAATGATGATGATGATGATGATGATGATGATGATGATGATGATGATGATGATGATGATGATGATGAAGGTGGTGGTGATGATGATGATTATGATGATGGTGATGATGGTGATGATGCTGATGATGACGACGACGACAACGACGACAGCGAACATCTTCGCGCACACTACTGAGGATTACGATGATCTTGACGACGTCGACTATGATGATTATTGTGATGGAGATGATGGGGAATATTAGGATGATGCTAAGGATGAGGTGACTAACGATCATCAAGTCTGATGATGCGGTTGACGCTGCTGATGATTAGAATGCGGAGGAAAAGCACCAGAGTAAACCCAAGATGCAGCAAGGATGCTGCAATACACCCTCGTGGCACAAGTCCCCTCCTGAGTCCCCACACTGCTCCTTTGCACTGCGGGAAGCGCTTTCTTTGACAGATATTCAGGCGAGACCCCGTTTTGCCAAGATCCTACGTCCATCGTTCCAGCTACCATTAAGTCGGGCGTGAAAATGGTCAAAATAGTCTTGGGACGAATTCTAGAGTATTTTTTGATTATTTTTGAATCTTTCTTTGCCAATTTTCCATTATTTATCCAAGATTCGCCTGTAAGAGGACATGCCCGACCTAAAGCTACCAGAACATGCAAATGGGTAGGGCCATAACGTTCAATACATTGGGCAGTGGATGCTCCGTTTGCCACACCACGATGTTGGGAAGTCGCAGGCGATAGCGCCATACAAGACAGAGCCGTCGTCCGTTCGAGTAGCTGTCGCGCAAGCCTGATGTTCGGGTGATATAGTTTGCAGAAGTCTCAAGCGAAAACCTCTTTTTGAACATGATTTGACCTCCTCCCGTGTATATTTTGCAATGTGTTAAGATCAATGAGCGCGGCGCAAAGGCTATACCCTATTTTGAAAACGACCTGTGCTCCATCCGTGCCATCGTAGGGCCATTCGATCTTCGAGATCATACTCTGTGAATACGTCTCAGTCGAAACGCCCGGCCGCCCCATCGACATGTCCGGTGGCGCGACGAGCAGGAGTTTTCTGCAAGAAACGGGGTGGAGACGGTTGAGGGAGGATCAGGCGGAGAAGACGGCGAAGATGGGAGCAAGCAAAATGACAATGACGATGGGAGGAGATATCAGCTGTAACAGTGATGCTTATGATGATGATGATGATGATGCTGATGATGATGATGATGATGATGATGATGATGATGATGATGATGATGATGATGATACGGCTGATGATGATGATGATAGCGACGATGATGCTGATGATGATAATGATGATGCTGCTGATGATGATGATGGCGATGGTAATGACGATGACGATGATGATGAGGAGGATGAGGATGAGGATGAGGATGCTGATGATGGTGATGATGCTGGTGGTGATGAAGACGACGAATATGATGATTGTGATGATGATGATGATGATGATGATGATGATGATGATGATGATCATGGTGCTGCTGCTGATGATGATGCGGTTGCTGATGATGCTGCTGACGCTGTTGCTGCTGATGATGATGACTTGAAATGATGATGATGATGATGATGATGATGATGCTGCTGCTGCTGATGATGATGGCTGTGCTGCTTCTGCTGCTGCTGATGATAATGAGGAGGCTTATGATGATGATGATGATGATTGTGATGACTAGAGATGACGATGATGCTGCTGTTGATGATGCTGATGATGCTGCTGCTGATCATGATGATGATGCTGATGATTATGATGATGATGATGATGATGATGATGATGATGATGATGACGCTGATGCTGATGCTGATGCTGATGCTGATGCTGTTGTTGATGATGTTGATGATGTTGATGATGATGATGATGATGATGATGATGATGATGATGATGATGATGATGAGATGCGAGAGATGAGAGAATGAGAAGGAGGATGAGGAGGAGGAGAAAGCAGGACCAGGAAGAGCGAGTGGGGGGTGGGTGGGTGGAGCATGGAGCAGGAGAATTAGGAGGAGGAGGAGGAGGAGGAGGAGGAGGAGGAGGAGGAGGAGGAGGAGGAGGAGGAGGAGGAGGAGGGGGAGGACACTGAGGATGAGGATGAGTAGGAGGAGGAGGAGGAGGAGGAGGAGGAGGAGGAGGAGGAGGAGGAGGGACCGGGTAAACTCAAGATGTGCCATCGATGCTGCATCACACCCTCCCGTCCCAAGTCCCCTCATGCGTTCCACCAAGCTTGACTTTTCACTGCAGACGTCGCCCCCTCGAAAGGCCAGCACCCTCTGGGCCTGCCTTTGTGGCGAGGGCCCGGTTTTCGGAAGGATCTCTGCCTTCCATCTCCTGGCGCGCAGCCAGGGACGCGACAACTATCATCATGCTGTCCAGCGAAGCGTCCAGGGGGATCCCCCCTCCGAAGTTGCGCAGATTTGCCTGCACTTCGTGGTCATGCATTTCGAGGGAGTCTCGAGCGACGTCCCCATTTTGAACAGGGCCCGCCCTCGCCCCGTGCAGTGTTGCACGCGAGGAAGTTTCGGGTCTGAACGGTTGGGGAGGCTTCAAGCGAAGGCCTCGTTTTCAACAAGCTCCGTCCGCCATCATTCTGCATGCTGTAAGCTCCCAGGACATGTGCGCGGCGCTGAGGCGAGAGTCCCCACTGCGAAAACGACCTGCGCTCCACCCTTGAGCCTGTTGCAAACTTTCGAGACGAATGTGCGTGGCACGAAGGCGAGAGCTCCATTTGGAAAACGGCCCCCCTCCATACCTGAACCTGTTGCAGACTCTGAAGACGACTGTGTGCGGCGCTAGGGCGAGAGCCACATGTTGAAAGCGACCCCCTGCATCCTCGAAGCCGTTCTATGCGTTTCGCCGTTTTTATGCAACGAATGTGCGCCGTGCTATGCGAGAATCACATTTCGCAAAGGAGCCGCCCTCCATCATTGAAGCTGTTGCACATTTGAAGCGTCTGAACTCAAGGGAGGAGAAACCACCCAGACCCGACAATTGACGTTTACCAAACAGCCTTGGGCGTTTACGAAACAGCCCTGCCCTGTTCGATTCCTTCCCTGGGTGCATTTACTAAACGGCTTGGGTGTCGGGGTGGTTATTCTCGGGGTGGATTTTCTGCCCTCTAAGAACCAGTGAGGAAGTCATCGGCGGAACGCAAGCTCCGCCTTACCAACACCTCTGGGAGGGCGGTGCCATTTGGAAGGAATGGGGTTGGCGATGAGGAGAGAGGGAGGATGAGAAGGCGGACCAGGGATACATAGAGGATCTATGGGAGGATGAGGGGGATATGAGGACGGTCGAAACAACTATTAGGATGATGTTGCTGCTGCTGCTAATCATGATGCTGCTGCTGTTGATGATGATGATGATGATGATGAGGATGATGATGATGATGATGATGATGATGATGAGGATGATTATGACGATGATGATGACGATCCATGATACTGATAAGTATTATGATGATGTTGATGCTGGTCCTCATGATGATGCTTCTGCCGATGTTGATACTGTTTCTGATGATGGTGATGATGATGACGATGACGATGATGATGGTGATGATGCTGCTGCTGATGATGATGACGATGCTGATGATGCGGATGCTGCTGCTGATGATGATCATGATTCTGATTATGATGATGCAGATGCTGATGCTGATGCTGATGCTGATGATGCTGATGATGGTGATGATGCTGCTGCTGATGATGATGACGACGATGAAGTTGAATATGATGATTCTGAAGAGGATGAGGAGGGTGAGGAGGAGGAGTACGAGGAGGCGGAGGATGGCAATGTGGGATGGGGGATGGACGGTGAGGTAGAGGGGTGGGGATGACGAAGAGGGAGTGATGCTGGAGGGTAGTGGGGAGGAGGGTGGAGTAGCTGGATGAGCAGGAGGAGGAAGAGGGATTCGGAGCGGCCTGTCGGTGTTTTTTCTCTCTTTCCATTGTTCGGCACAGCCTCTTGGCTATAGCTGGTTCGAATGATCGCGTAGGCCTGGATCTTGTACACGCTGAACGCGCTGAAGGCGAAGGAACGGCACGGCTTGCTGCCCCCGCGTTCCAGTATATTTGCTGCTTCCCCTCGTGGTCGTCGTCGCCGTCGTCGTCGCCCTCCTCCTCCTCCTCCGACTTACAGGCGTTTGTCTTCTGCTATCCATCATTTTGTCCTCCTCTCGGCCATCTTTCTTCTCGTCGACGCTAGAGTAGTCCATGGAGTGTTTCCCCTATGCAGATGATTCTTCAGACGTCGTGCTAGGCTCTTGCTCAGAGCTACCAGCCCTGGACGGGCCAGAGAGCATACGCAATGCGCAGGAGACGAGCACCGATTGGCATCGCTGGGGCCAGGGAGCCTATTAGCACAGTGGTCAAGTGTACTTGCTGCGCTTACTCTCTGACCATTTGCCGATCCGCCGCCGCTGCCTCCTCCACCTTCCCTCTCCCTCCTCATTTCTCCTCCTCGTCCTCCCCCTCCTCCTCCATCTCCTAATTCTCCTCCCCCTCCCCCAGCCCCTTGCCCTTGCTGCCCCTCTTGCTCCTCGCCTCCTCCTCGTCCTCGTCGTCGTCGTCGTCGTCGCCCTCCTCCCTCCCTCCCTCCTCCTCCTCCTCCTCCTCTGTCCCCCCCTTCGCCCTCCCCTTCTCCCTCTCCGTCCTCCTCCTCCTCCTCGTTCTCCCCCTCCCCCCCCCGCATCCCCATCCCCCCCCCTGCCTCCTCGCGAGGGCCCGTGGCCCCGCGGCGCCGCTGCCAGGAGCTCTTCACCATCAATGAGCAGTACATTGTCCGCGACGGCAAGGCCCGCCTCCGCGTTCCCCCTCGCGCCGGGTCGGGGGGTCCTCCACCTCCGAGGCGCCAGGGGCCGAGAGAGTCGGGGAGCACCCGCCGCCGCGCCGCGCTGTTGACCCGCCGCGCCGCGCCCCCCCCCGGTAGCCGCGCCCCCCCCCAATCAAATGGACGGACGTCCAGGGAAGCGCTTGAGGAGGAGGACGCGGCGGGTAAGGAGGGATGAGGATGAGGAACGAGGATGAGGAGTGAGGGGGAGGAGGAGGAGGAGGAGGAGGAGGAGGATGAGGAGGAGGAGGAGGAGGAGGAGGAGGAGGAGGAGGAGAGGAGGAGTAGGAGGAGGAGGGGGAGGAGGAGGCGGAAGAGGAGGAGGAAGAGGACGAGGATGAGGATGAGGATGTGGATGATGATGCGGGTTCTGTTGATGATGATGATGATGATGATCATCATGATGATGATGATGTTGATGTTGTTGATGATGATGATGATGGTGATGATGATGATGGTGATACTGATAAGGATTATGCTGATGATGCTGATACTGCTGATGATTCTGATTATGCTGATGATGCTGATGATGGTGATGGTGCTGATGATGATGACGCTAATGATGTTGATGATGCTGATGCTGATGCTGATGCTGCTGATGATGATGATGCTGATGAGGAAGAGGATGAGGATGAGGATGATGATGATGATTATGATGATGATGCTGTTGTTGGTGATGATGGGGATGAGGATGCTGAGGAAGATTGGGTTGACGACGATAAGGATGATGATGATAATGCTGATAATGATGATGATGATGATGATGATGATGATGATGATGATGATGATGATGATGATGATGATGATGATGCGGATGAGACTGACGCCAACGACGATGGTTATGATTAGGCGAGTGATGCCGATGATATGATAATTTTGGTAGTGTTGATGTAGCGGAGGATTGGGATGCTGATGTCGATGATGATAATGCTGATGATGCTGATGACGATGATGATGCTGGAGATGATGCTCATGATGATGCTTATGATGATGATGATGATGATGATGATGATGATGATGATGATGCTGATGATGATGATGATGATGAAGGTGATGATGATGATAACGACGATGATGACAACGACGCTGATCATGCTGCTCTTGAGGATAATGCTGACGGTGATCCTGATGATGTTGATGTTGGGAATTCTGATGATTATGATGATGCTGGTAATGAGGATGATGCTGATTGTGATTGTGTTGCTGAGGATAATACTGATGATACTACCGATGATGATGCTGCTGATGATGACGAATGCGGATGTCGATGATGATGTTGTTGATGATGATGATGATGATGTTGATGATGCTGTTGCTGATGATGATGCTGATGCTGATCATGGTGAGGAGGATGATCTTGAGGACGAGGATGATTCGAATGCTGATGCTGATGCCGATTGGATGCTCATGCTGTTGCTGCTGATGATGATGATGATGATACTGATGCTGCTGCTGATGATGCTGCTGATTATGATGATGATACTGCTGATGCTGACGATGATGATGCTGACACTGATGCGGATGATGCGGATGATGATGATGATGATGATGATGATGCTGATGATGACGATGATGATGATGACGATGATGCTGATAATGATGATGATGACGATGATGATGTTGGTACTGACGAATCTGATGATGCGGATTATGACGATGCTGGTGATGTTTGTCTGTCGCTGCTGCTGATGATGATGATGCTGGTGATTCTGATGATGTTTCTGATGATGAGGACGATGATTACACTGATGGTGATCCTGATGGTGATGACGCGGATCATGATGATGGTGATATTGCTGATGGTGATGATGCTGATGGTGATGATGATGTTTCGGATGATGATGATGACGATTATGATGAGGATGCGAACACATGAGGAGGATGGGGATCACGATGATGATGGTGATGCTGATGAGGATGATGATGATGATGCTGATGAATATGATGATGCTGATGCTGATGATGAGACTGGCGAAGATGACGCTGTGGTTTACATGATGAGGCTGCTGCTAATGATGATGAGGCTGAGGGT